TCAAAGCAAGAGAAAGCTGCGTCATGCCGCGGTAATCAATATGCACGTTATGCGTGGAAGCCAGCGCAATCTATGGCTATCTAATGTCGCGTATAGTAGAAATCTATGCCCTTTTAGGATGACGACCTTTTCCCGTTCCAGTAGTGAAGATAACCAGACCAGCGGCGTTGTATCTAATTTTTGGCAGAAAATTCTTAAGCAGGCTCGGGAGAAATTGGAATTGATGGTGATTAATTTGATCGGCAAGATTTCTTTTAAAGTTTAGTCTTTTTGAAAAAAAAATTTTGGAGTGCGTCTCCTTGGTAGGTTCATGCTTGCAAGTGTAACCATAGCTTGTATCTTGGAAAAACCTTATGCATGGTTGAAAATTTGAAAAAAAAAAAAGTTTCCAATCTCGGTGGCATTCTGAGGAAAAAAACTAAAACTTTTAAATGATACATGATTGTTAATTTGTGGATAACTTTGATGCGTCAGAATCAAAACCACGATCGTTATCAATTTTACTTCCTCTCAGGTATCCCCGCAAGTCGGCTCCAGCTCGGGGAAAGTTGGACACTTTCGCTATTATCAAACACCCGCTCACCACTGAGTCAGCTATGAAGAAGATTGAAGATCATAACACTCTCGTATTTATGGTTGATGTTAGAGCTAACAAATATCAAATTAAGAACGCCGTGAAGAAGCTCTACAATATTGATGTGCAGAAGGTAGGCGTAGATCTTGTTGTAGCAGTAGATAAGTCTATTGTTCGTTTTGCAGATCAACACATTGATTACTCCACTTTTGGAAAAGAAAGCGTATATCCGCCTTACTAGCGACTACGACGCTTTGGATTGTGCTAACAAAATTGGCATTATCTAAACTTTGTTGTTGTACGTCAATGAATGAATTGTTGTTATTTTTGTCTTTGCGGTATTGTTATTCCTTCATTCATCTACCAAGAACTCGAAAGTGCACGCACAGCGTAGACTGATAAAAGGCTACTAATCGCATAAAGATGAACATTCATAGTCTTAAAATCTTCATTAACAATTTTGCAAATGACCATGAATTTTAAAAAGCTCTCCAATCAAGTTTAGTGTAATGCTCAATTT